GCCCGCCGCAAGTGAGCGCCGCCTCCCGCCCGGACACCGCCTTGTGCCCCTGCCCCTGCGTGGTCCGCACCCGGAGCCCGACGCCGCCACCGCCCCGCGGTCTGATGACTCTGGGCCCGGCCCCTTCCGGTTGTTGCCGCCGGGCACCGGAGGACGCAGCTTGGTGGCCCGTCCGCAGGGCAGCGGAGACGTTTTGCAAATAAACCCCCATGGCGGGAGCTGCTGGGCCCTGTGCTGTGCTGTGCTGTGCTCCGCTCCTAGCGGGGCCTGTCGTTGCCGCGTGATCGCGACCTTTGCTGCCCCGTGGCCCTGCCGGGGCCGGGCTGTACCCCGAGGTGCTCGGAGTTTCCGTCTGCGGGGGGGGGGCAGCCCCAGCCCCCGCCTCTGCAGCATTTCCGGCCCTCGCAGGGGGCACTGGGGGAGGCTTGGTGCAGGAGCCCGGCTGCCACTGTGCCGGAGGCAGCCAAGGCAGTACAGCTCCTGGTCTGCCCGCCTGGGGCCCGGCAGGGAGGCCTGGTCTGGAGCCCGTGTTCCCTCGGCGGGCTCTGCGCCCGGCTCCCTGTGCTGCGTGTGTCCGTCACGCTGGAGGCCTGAGGTTCGGCTCGGCCGGTCCCGTTCCGTCCCGTCCCCCAGAGCCAGGGGGGCAAGAGCCGGGCCCTGCCCCCAGCAGCTGTGGCGCAGGGGTGGGGGGGGCAGCTGTTCCGCTGGGTCGCGGCTGCAGAGCGGCAGCACACGCACGGCGGGGTCCCGCCCCCGGCCCTGCCTCGGGCCCCAGCGCCTGGACAAGCGGTAGGATGGGGGCTGCCCGGGAACACATGGACACACGCACATGCACACGTAGGCGGGGCAGTCCAGGGCTCCCTCGCAGCCTGCTCCGGATCGGGGCCTAGCCCTTCTCCAATCACGGGGAGGCCTGTCTGAACACCCCCACATGCCCACCAATCCCTGGCAGCCCTCCGGCTTGGCATCCAATAAATGCAGGCGGGGGACGCCCCCCACCCCCCCGTCTCCGCCCTCGGGATCCTCCAATCAGCAATTTTCCACCTCGCCCCAGGGAGGAGGCTGGCCTAAGCTTAGCCCGAGCAGGCGCGGCATGCCCCCCCGCCCCTTCCCAGCAAGTCACGTGGGTCTTCTGGGCCGCCATCTTTGCTGAGGGCGGGTTGCCCAGGAGTGGTATGGTGGCGGCCGGCGGGCGGGGGCTGCCGGCGGGGCGGAGGCGTGTCCTCTCGCCGGTGCGTCACTTCCGTTGTCAGGTGGCCGTGGCGGAGCGGAGTCCCGGCCGGCGGACGGGGCCGAGGCGGGGCTGCCCGGAGCGGCTCCGGCCCCGGGGGCATGGGGCACGGGTGAGGCGCGCCGAGCG